GTGGCCGGTCAACAGTGTCGTGCTACTATTCGACATATCGGGTTCATGTACATGTTGAGAGTGTGAGATTTTATTAATGCCACTACTGTATCTCGGCAATTCCACTATTCACCTAGCCACTCTATCGCGGGCCACCTACCGTACACATAAATTATCGAGAGACAGGTGGCACGTAGCGTTGACTTGATGCAACTGTTTTTGTGTCCCTTACTGGGCACCTTCGTTCGTGAATTGGACGCGGCTAGGGAAGACGGCAACCCCCTACATAGAGCATTATGAACAAGGTTCACGTCACAATGCTTTCATGCTGACGCTTGACCACGATTCAACAGCAGCAATAAACACGAATCATGACCAACAAAAATAATAACGCCACCGCGAGGCGAATGGCTAATAAATTACGCCGCGCGAATGTCAAGACAACCACGACTCCTTCTACCATTGCTGCTGCTGCTTTATTACTACTCGAGGCACGGGTAGAAGTGCCACAAGCCTTCTTCCCTCCCCCCCACGAACGAAGCGCGTCATCACTGGCCGTCTGATACACCAAGGCCAGCATCAGCTGGGCCCGCGCCCGCCCAACCCCGCACCCGTTGCCCATAGAAACTCAACCTGCCGGTGCGGGGAAAAAAGGCAAAAAGTCGAACCTCCGCCTACGGATATAGCGCCCGCACGTAGGAATCTCTAGTTTTGGCCGAGGCTGGGGTGTTTTCTTCCTTTTGCAGGCTACCAATGGCCGCTATCTACCGTAGGTTGCATAAGATATCACACCCCCTGGACCGATTTTCAAAGCTCGATTACTCCACGACGACGAGGATGCCGAAATTGAGGTATATGTTTTCGGAATAGCTCTCGCCGAGACGGTTCCAACGCCTCCCGCCATTTTTCGGCACCATCACTGCTTTTTCCTGCCGAGATATCGAGCTTCAAAAATTGCGCATCCTACGGTAGGTTTTTAGTGTATGAGTTCTTGACCAGGCTCACAAAAACGGTGCTCAAGCCCTACAAAGTCAAGCTAAGTGAGGGTGCTATATTACTTCCAACAATAGATTTATAGATTCCCCCCCCCCCCCAAAAAAAAGTCCATTCTCTCCCCCACCCAGCTCCCGGTGTTCCACTTGCCAGAGGTTGGCGAGCGCGCTGAACGGGAAGGTGTTGAACAGCCGGGCCACCAGGCAGAAGACGATAGCGAGGCCGATGAAGCGCCAGTCCCAGTCGCGGAACCGGCCTGTGAACACGCCCATGCCCATGTACAGGAAAACCACGAACTCCGACAGCGTGGCGAGGGAGGCGAAGATGTACTCCGCCGTGATCTACGGAGGGCGACGCGGAATTACGTGGTTGGGGGGGGGGATGTCATCGGTAGGGGATTGGACGTGTGTTCGATCATTCATTTCCTTTGCCACCAAAACGTGTATCGAGCGCCCCTGTTTGGGGGTGCACGGTCATGAAAACTGGTGGTGCGACTTTAATAAGCTGATCTTGTGACGCAGACGGGCGGGCACAACAATATCGACAACAACAACACACACATGATCATACCACGGTGGTGGCCATCTTGTCCTTACGTGGTGACCATCTTACCCCCGATCAACAAACCATCCTCCACGCTGACGTTTCGAGACGACGAACCTGGCTAGTCGGGGACAAGTTATACGTGTTGTACGTCGCCAGCACGACCCCGGTGAAGAAGATAGACATGATCCCCGACAGCTCCACCGCCTCCGCAAACGCGTAGCTCCCGTAGCTCGACAGGAAAAGCAGCGAGATCTCGAACTTGGGGTAGTCGCGGATGCGCGTGTGCTTGAACAGGAAGGAGCAGGCCAGACCGATGAGCACCCCCACCGAAGTCGACGCGATCGTTATCGTGAAGAAGCTCCACAGGGTGGACGGGAGGGTCCCCGCGGTGAAGGATTCGTTCTCCTGGTACTCCCGCAGGAAGGTTCGGAAGAGCACGATTGCCACCGCATCGTTTAGCACGCTTTCGCCGAACACCAGGCTATCGTTTGTTTGTTTTTTTTTCCCATTTTTTTTTTTTTTTCCGCCGTTGTTTCGCCGTTATTCCCGTCGTCGTCACCGTCGCCGTGGGTTTAGATGCGGTAGTGATGACGGAAGTGGTTATTGGTAGTAGTGGTGGTGGTTTCGTGGTATTTCGTCGTCGTCGTGGTATTGTATGCGGTGGTACCGGTTGCGGTTGGTGGCAGTTGCGGTTGATTCGGCGTCGTCATCGATGCCATGGTGAAGGTGGGATGTGTTTGTTGTGGTTGGCCACGTTGTTCCCGCCGCCATTGAGAGGGGAAAGGGGGGGGCGATAGAGCAAGACACACGGAGACAAAAAACGGGGGGACGGGAGAGAGTTGGAGGGAGATGATATCTCACGGGGGTTGAAGAGTTGACCATACCTGAACTTCCTACAAGATGTGGTCGCAATGATATGACCATGGGTTTGGGTCGAGAAAGCAACCCGTGGGCAATAACCCTGAAACATAGAATTGGATGATACAATGGAGAATGGCAGGGAGGAATAATGCCACGTGGGACAAAAATGTGAATTATTTCTTCTGTTTATTCCGTTTTCCCAGGCCCCTTTATATATTTGGAAGTACGCATCCACCGCGTCAGTTGGACCAGTAGGGATTAGAGGGGTTACAGAGGAGAGACCAGAAAGGTGCGTTTACTATGAAGACAACAAAATACACAACAACAATGCCCACTCAATCAACCCTACCCCGAAAAGGGCAGCACACGTTATTTCCAGGAAAAAAGACAGCAACAAGGACACAGAAAGAGAAAGGGGTTCCGAAAAATCGTAAGCTTACCTGTAGAGCAACGGGTCGCAGTTCAGCTCCGGAGAACCCATGATGGACAGGGTGGCTACTGGATCTACGGCGGAGATTAAGGCCCCAAACAGGAGGGGCTCCATAGGGTTTGAGGTGTTGATGCGGGCCAGTCCCTGCAAAAAAAAAAAATGATCCGGCCGGTTTTTTCTCATTCAATTTTTGGGTAAGTTAGCCTGTGACCACGGGAATCGATCCCGTCAAGTGCTAGACTAATAGTACGGACAGAAGAAGGTACTGGGCAGAGAGAACGAAACGGTTTTTAATGTGAAGACAACAACAACAACAACAACACCTGCACTGCAAAGACATCCCCTGCGAGTGTGGTTCTATAGTCGTAGTCTCGTGATTGTACCGTACGTTGCATAAAATACCACACCCCCTGGGCCGATTTTCAAAGGTTCGATTTCGTGGCAGGAAAAAGCAGTGATGGTACTGACAATGGCGGCGTTGGCACCGTCTCGTGGAGAGCTTTCCGAAAACGCATCATTTGAACTCGGCATGCGCTTCGTCGTCCAGCAAACGAGCTCTGAAAATCGGCCCAGGGGGGTGTGGTATCTTATGCAACGTACGGTGTATTTTCTAAGAAAAGCAGGTTCTAACTCCGAATCAAGATCCACACTGTAAGGCTTCTACGATACATATTCCCTTCGACTACTGTGGTTATATCCCGAACAGGTAGTCTCGCTGGTATTTACGAACAAAGCACTTTCAAAAACACATTTTGACACATTTTTTTCCTATTATAGTCCAAATCGAGAACATGGTGTCGCCGCCTGCGTGAGATACCGGGCACCACTCACAAGCTTGCCGGCAAGGTAGGTGAGGTACCCGATGATGAACGTCGACACCAGGGTCCCCAGCACAGCGAACATGACGATGGAAAGGATGTTGTGGAAGAAGTCCTTCTTCCTGAGGGTGTAGCCGGCCTCGAAGATGATCGGGGGAAGGAACAGGAAGTAGAACAACTCCTGCGAGGCAAGAAAGAAGAAGAGGGTGGGATGGAAACACGGGCGCAACGTTACGAGAAGGGGGTGGGGACAGGGAGTGAACGGGAATAAGCCGCAAAACTCCGAGCATTTATTGTACAGCAGTCAGATGCCAACAGACGGACCGAGAGGGGGGAAGGGACAGGAGGTGATTCGGATTAGTTGCAATCTCCGAGTGTACACACAGCCGCCAGACACGTATGTCAACAGGTGGTTTCGAGAGGGGGCGGGGACAAGAGGTGGTCGGGAAATGTCGCAAAAATCCGAGCGTTTACAGCAGGCAGAAACGTTTTACAGCAGTCGTCGTTTCGTGGTGCAATGCACAACTGCTGAGCGTGTTGCAGCGTGGGCGTATGTAGCGGTATGCTCCTTAAACCTTTCCCGTCTTTCGCCGTAATGTCCTGGATACCTGCCACGCTCTACACCGGCCGGACTTAAATGCTGCAGTGGGGCCAAGCGACATGTACTGCTTCTGCCTGCCATCGTTGGAGCACAAAAGTCTTTCCGTGCACTGCTGTGTATCATCGTTTCTAGAGAGTCAAATATCCGACAAGATCCAGAAGGTCGTTGATCGAGTAAAACAAGTGTCTCTCGATCGACACAACCACGATTCCCCTTCCCAAAAGGTCGCGTGGACAGGTTCGTCTCGCTACAGTATCGAGTTCGCATGTGCTCCCATGCGTCCATCTGCCTGCTTGTACCTCTCTGCCTTCTCACCTGGGCCTGTGGAGTTAAAGCAGGACACAGACAGGACACAGATCTACGTTGGGTAGATAGTGTCGGTCCACGTGTAGAGACAAATGCGGCGCGACCTCGACGATGACGACATGGATGCCTCGCTCAGGTTTACCCGGAAAAAACGAAGAGCCGTGTCGTACTGTGCTATCCAACGGTCTTTACTGAGGATAGGAGATTACCCAAGGACCAACGGTCTCACTTCCAAATGAAAACCTCCCGCGATTGTTCTGTAGGTTCCATACGTCAGATACCACACCCTTGGATCAATTTCGAAAGCTCGGGTACTCCACGACTAAAAGGACCCCACAATCAAGCGATCCGTTGCCGGAAAGACCTCATCGAGAAGGTTCTAACACCATTATTCTTCGGCACTGCCACTGTTCTTGCTGCAGAGTAATCAGGCTCTGAAAATCGATCGACGGGGGGGTGCTATCTTACGCAACCTACGATATCTAACCTGTGGGCGCTTCGGCGGCTCACCGAACTGAAAATCTTAGCTCATCCTTCGTTGGAGAAAAACTCCCGGCCATCCAGGGGGTGCGGCATCTTACACACACAAACTATTATAGTCTTATTACTCTTGCGATGCTTCAGCGACTCACCGAATTGAAGCTGAGGAAGTCTAGCTCATCCTTCGTGGGGTAGAAAATCTTGGCCATGCCCCCCACCACAACCCCCACCAAAATGGCAGCGGCGGACTCCGGAAGGTAGTAGAAGCGGTGCCGTCGGATAAGGTAGGCGCTTAGGATGCATAGCCCAAGAACCACGACCTACAGGTTTCAACCGACACAAAGAGGGGTGGGAGGGGGGGGGGGGGGCGGGGGGGGGGTTAAAGGGCGGGGGGGGGGGCCCCCCATGTTGGGACGGCCTAATTTTTGGGAGGGGGGACCTGGCTCCCCCCCGAAGAGGGGGGGTTTTTTCCCCCAGGAGTAACCCAAGGGCCTTTGGGGGGGGGGGGGGATTTTATCCTGGAAAATTTCCCCGGGGGTTTGGGGGGTTTTCACAAGCCAACAGGGAAAAAAAAAAGGGCT